CCTAGGATGGTCTTATGCAGGTCTTTCAAACTCCGATCAAGCTGAGAACCAAATGCCATAACCAAGCTCTGATTTTCTGCTTCCATCTTGTCTTTCTTATCTGCAGAAAGCAAAAAGCACTTGACTTGCGTGTAGTTCACAAGAAAGGATTTTGGATGACATGTAAAATAAAACTACAATAATCATCTTTTCTTTTCAGATGTATTCTGTTCAGCCAGAAAAGTAAATAAAACTACAATAATCATTTGCCAATTACCAAAACTGCAGGACACAAGTTACTTTTCTGCATGGGGCATGCTTATGACCTTGCATACTGAAGTTCATTAAGCATACCTAATTTTTCATAGAGGGAATTCATTTCCTCTGATGCATTCTTCAAATCACTGCGCAACTCCTTTGCCCGTCCAATCAAAAGATTTTCTGATATAAAGACATGCCGCCATTATTTCAAATAAAGAGAGCTTTTCAACAAATATGAGAAAAGAGGTACAAAATTTCTCAATAATATCTCAATTTCCTTACCTGAGAATAGCAATTTGGAGATGATACGCTCCTTCTCTTTCAGGGTTGAGGTGGCTATTTGGTAATCCTCTTGAAGTTCAAGCAAAGCCTTGTTACAGTTATCCAGATTTATCTGAAATAGACAAAATCAAATTCCTGATAAGATGCATAAACTGAAAATGAGTCGAGCAATAATGTAGGTATATGATGCAAACCTTGCAGTCCTTGAGCTCACTTTGTAAATCCAGCTTCTGTTCTTGTTCACTGATATAGAGCTCATGAAAACTATCCGCTTGCTGAAAGGAGAAGCGAGTTCGATGACTAAGATAACATAGAAGAATAATTAACTGAGGAGAAAGCAAAATGTACCTTTTCTGTGAGGTTGAGGTCATTCTCCAATTGCTCTATTCTCTCAATCCTAGCCTGCAAAGTTTTCACATTTTAAACGATGTACACACATTAGTACAAATGCAAAAGGGAACTTTATTCAAACTGTATGTATACAGCTTAAAGGAGGACCTTTTTTTCAGCTTCATCCTGGACAAATCTTTCATGCGGAATATAAACACCATTCTTTTCCCGTGCCGCTCGGATATCTGCATTCAGCTTTGAACAGGTTAAAATAAAATTAATCACCAAAACAAGGTTAGGCAATTGTCATCCAACCTTCTTTCATTCTCTCAATCTCTGAATACAATTCCTTGAGCAGCACAGGCTTTGACATTTTCTGGTTTGCCTGCACGAATAAACTCCATCATCATCATAGTCATCACATAGAACAATACATTTCAAGAAACAAAAGACTGAAAGACGAGGACAAACCTCGGGTTTGTTTTTAATGTTCTTGGCACGATAGGCATAATCCAGTGTGCTTAGAGTTTCCTCCATGCATGAAGCAGTTGGAGAAATTGTGGCAATGATGCAGGTTTTTGTTTTCCCTCCCAAAGAATCTCTTAAAAGTCTTGTAAGCTTACTGTCCCTGCAAAAAGAGTCAGCACATTAGATTAAACATATAGAAAACAGAAAGAAAGATAGTGAACCACCAACTGTTTAAATAAAGTCTATATATATCAGGACGTACCTGTAAGGTATATGAGTGGAATGTTCCACTAGTGCATTTATGACGCGGCCCAGCGTGAGCAAGCTCTTATTTATTTCCCCTGCTTCCCTTGCACGTCCCTACAGTTTTAAGCACACGTTATATCAAACTCTGATATACAATTCAATATTATTGCAAATTCATTTAAAGCTAACTTAGGGGCTTATCATTTCTTTCGATTGTCTTTAAGACAACACCTGTACTACTAGAACAGCATAAGGCGCCTAAACATGTACAAACGCAAGCAAATATACCATCTGGACCTGATTCTGGCTGCAATTCCAGTGACTAACAAGATCATGTTTACCCAGACAGCAAGCTTAAGCTCAGAAAATTTATTATAGTACCTCTCGTGCACCTGAACGAGATATGTTTTCCGATCCTGCCAGATCCACTAGATTAATTTTGCCACATTTAATTAGCTCCTCATCACCAACTGTTGCTTCTTTTATGTGGACAGTAATGGAAAAGACAGAATGAGAGCGACTGCAAACAAAGAAAAAGGGAGAAGTGTTAACATGAAGTGGTCCTCTGGAGTCAAATATCTTTTTGGTGACTGAGGAAAACATACCTGCTGCGCTTGTTCATCAGAGTGTCTGCTGTACGCCTTTTGGAAGACCCTCGTTCCAAGAGACTATAAATTTCATTTACGCTATACACATATTCTTCTTCAAGGCCTCTTACTATTACACAACCCTTCCCATCCTCCATCAACGAAATAGATTTCTTTTGCCTGTCGTCCGCAGTTCTTGGATTCTCATCAGGAGCTAGTAAATCAGTTATTTCTTCATTATATATTTCCAAAAACGTTACTTTCACACTGTAGTCAGCATCTTGTGCTTCAAGTGTATCAAAAATTTGACGAATAGCCCGTGGAATAACACCAGCCTCAGTAGGCAAATTGCCACTCTACAAGAAACAATATGTGTACATTACGCTTGCCATGAAGAGAGAAGATATCTTATATTGTCAGTCAAAGCAGGTAGATGACAACATAATAAATATAGATTCTATACCTTATTTCTCATCCCACCTTCCATTGTATAAGTTTTACCAGTGCCTGTCTGCCCATAAGCGAAGACAGTGCAGTTGAATCCGTCAAGAGCTTCATTAACTATCGGGGAAATGGCCTGCTCATATATTGATTTTTGCTGCGCTTTTGGTCCAAAAACCTAGCAAATTTTAATAAAGAATAACACTTTTTACATGTTGATCATAAGAGAATGTTATGAAGTAACATTATCAGAACGGAGACTAAAGAAGCATACCCTGTCAAAAGTGAACAATTTATCGACTTGCTTATTATTTAGACTTTGCATAACAGTGACCTCTCTTTTCTGTTCATTACAGGATACCACCTTCTGGACATTCAACCTTTGCTCTTCATCACTTAATGGCCTGAAATCAAATCAACCCACCAATTGATCATTGAAATTTCAGGTCAGAATTTGAACCATCAACTAAAAAAAGGAGATTAAACCTTACCTGCATCTCAGCAAAACTTGCACGTTAACCTCTTTATCCTTGTCCTGTCGATTTGGATTGTACTCAAGAGTTTTCCGCCGCCTTTCGGGACGAGGAGTAAGAAAAGGAGAAGGGGATGGTGACACCCCAATCCCAACTTTCCTAGTGTGATCAGGGGTGTGATCAGGGGTGAGTGCCATCACTTTTCACTCTTCCCAAACCTAAACCAACACCAACATACTTCATCACAATCAAAGCATATAAACCAAATCAACTATAAAATCACAAAACCCTAACGCCCTAACCAACAAATTTAGAAACATTTCGTGATGATTAATTAACTTAATTTTAACCCTAATCAGCATTACCAGAAGAAAGGAAGGCTTTTGGGGTTTTCAGCGAAATTACCTCAGTGAATTGGGATCACAAGTACGAAATTACCTCAGTGATTTTGTATATCCTGACGAAGCCCGACTCGATTAGCGAAATCAAACTCAAAAGCTATGAAATTTTCTATCAGATAGAGAATTAGCTAGGGTTTGGCGATCGAAAGGGGAATCGGAGAAAGGAAAGCTTTCTTCCGTCTTTAGGAGAAAGGAAGGCTTTTGGGGTTTTCAGCGAAATTGAATCGAATCGTAGATTTGAAAGATGAGGAAGAATGGTGGTGTCTGATTCTCCAACGGCTACCGTGCACTTTCGTATGGGGGGAAGTGGCCGTTGGGGCCAGACGGATTTCTATGGCTTTTTCAAACTGCGTGGGGCCGACCGGTGAAAATTCAAATGAGGCGCGTATGTTAACTTGCGCCTTTGGTGAATTTCAAAAGTGGATTTCCAATTTTACCCCAAAAATGAAAAAGAAGAGTTTAGAGCAACTCCACTCATGGAGCCCTCCCCCCTGTCAATCCACTATTCAATCCACCCTATTGAACAGTAACTGCCTTAAATGAATAGTAACTACCATTAATGAACAGTAATTGCCATTTACATCTCCACCATTGGAACCTTCCCCCTGGCAATAAACAATTAAAATAATAGTTTTTTTGTTTGTTTAAATAATAAAAATTGCAAAAGCTCTGGTCCCCTCTCTCTCTCTCTCTCTCTGACACAAAAAAAAAATTGCAAAGCCCTCGGGCCACAGGCCCGTCGACTCCCCACCCCCCCTTCGCTCAAGCTCCCACCGTCGCTTGGCCTCCACATGGCTGGACCTCTCTCCACCGGGCCTCCGGCCCCTTCTTCTCTACTATCCCCCGAGCAACCCACATGGGTGGAGTTGCTCTTAGAGAGAAAGAGAGAGAGAGAGCCTTCGTGTTTTGCGGTTGGATATGGGACATCAAATTTTAGATCAAATTTGCAAATCAAATGATGTGTCAAAATAAAGAATAAGCATGTTAATCAACACTTCAATCAATGACGGATCCACATACGGACCTAGGAGGTCCCAGGACCCGTCGGCAATCCTAGATCGCTGCTAGAAATTTTCCAGGGACCCCTCGTACTCGAGCATGAGGTCAGTGCAGGTTATCGGTTGCAAGTTGCAGTGGCTATCTTCTTCTCGGAGAAGATGACTGCGAACGGAGAAGAAAGAAAATAGGGACCCTTCCAGCCTTTCTCCTCCTTGCTTCTGCCATGGTCTCATCCATCGGTGCCACCCACTTCTCCTCCAACCTTTCTCTGTCATCTGACGGGGCAGTACATAAGCCCAAATTTCCCCAAATTATTTCAACCACCTTAGTAAATTTTCTTATGGGTGAAATTTCCTACATAAGGTTAGTAAAATGGATATGATCTGTCATGAGTTGGTGAAATTTGGGGGTGGAGTTGCCATGGCTTTGGGAGAATGGGGATGGAGACAGTTGGTGGAGGTATGGCAACTGTGTTCTTAGTGAGAGAGAAAGTGGATGTTTGGAAACTAGTAAAAGAGAAAAATGGTGTGTTTGGTTAGAAAGATAGTGGGAGTTTGGAGAGAGTTTTATTTGACTGGTGTTTTAAATTTAGTGGTCCATATTAGATAATCAATAACTTAGGTATTGTCACAACCCGTCCCGAAATATTATATCTTTAGGCATGAATTGTCTAATATGCCCTTGGACGTTAAAGTGTGTTGTGTGTATTGTGTGTTTAAGTTTTGGATCCATCCATTATTTTCCTAAGTTTTTAGAACTAAGGGAACTAAAAAGGACTTAGTTTTGTCGGTTTGTGACCAACTAGGACCACACACACACAAACACCTATACCCTTTCTCTCCTTCTCCCGTGGACTCTCTTTCTCGCGGATTTTTTAGTTTTTCCATACAAGTGTACGGACAAACCTTGGACCAAACCATTTCTTCATGGATCGAGGTTGTGGAGACCATATTCAAGTTCCTTACAAGCCTAGGAACCCATTAATACTATTATTTGGATGTGAAACCTCGAAAAACCCGAGAAACCATAACCTCTGATTCGAGGTACTGTTCATGCACACGTAAATGTGTAGTTTTCTGAGAGTTTTGAAGTTATAGGAAGCTTTAGATCGTCTTCACGAAGCTCGGAGAAGAAAAATGAAGTGACTTAGACGTCAAGAAGCTCGGGAATAGCGAGTTACAGGTTTAGCCAGATTATCGAGGGATTTTCTGGCCAGTTCCATCGGTTTTAGGACTTTTGAAAGGTAAGGTTTTGTTCTACTTGTCTTAAGCTTCATTTTAGTATAAAATTTGTGAAATTTGGTTGAAAAATGAAGAAGTTATGAAGGTTTTTCGAATTTCCAGTTTTCGGCAACGGCGACGGCAACCAGCGATTCGCCGGAGAAGAAAGGAGAATATTCCATCAATATTGACGGAATATTCCTAACGGCAGTTGATGGCGTCAGGTTAGTTTTAATGGAATATTCTAATTTTTAGCGAAATATTCCTTAACGGCGGTTAAGGATTCCGTCAGGGTTGGCCGCGCGTGGGGGCACGTCTGGCCGTGCCTTGGCCAGCGTGTGGGAAGTCGGAAAATTTTTCTAAAAATATAGAGATATTCGTGAGGTTGTGTAGATCACGTTGGTATATTCAAAAATCCCATTTGAGCAATGTATGAGAAGTTATTTCTTAGTTTTGTTTATGTGTTTTAAATAACGTTTATTCAGTTATTTCACATATAGGTGAGATATATCCTGAGGACGAATGCCATTAATCGAGGCTCGGGGGCTACGACCCTTCGACATATCAGTGAGTGGGCTTTTGGTTTTCCGTATATACCTGTATACTTGAGATTTTTCCTAAAAAATATGTTTAAATGAATGTATGTTTTGAAAATGCCATGCAAGTATCTATCTATTTTAATTATGCATTAGTAGTTGCATACATTCATGATTAGTGATGTGGACGCACAGGTAAGTGCCATGTAAGTTCATAAATCAAAGGTATGAGATGATTTTCAGTTATGTGATGTATGATGTGATGTATTGAAAGCTCATAAACCTGCACCCTGGTGTTAGTGCTCTTGCCCAGCGTTAGGGCACAGTCTTTCACGTGATGTTCACCTCTTGCACCATATGCTCACCTTGGATCCAAGTTAGGTGCACAGGCTTCTCGTACATACCACTTTAGGTGGCTTCGACTCGTAGGTGACCCGTGATTATTAGCACAACCTTCACGTGATCGTAGCACTAGAGCATATTTACTTTACACCTAGTCTTGTCATGCAGACCACTTTAGGTGGTTCCGACTCGTGTGCAGAAAATGATTTTGATTTGATTGGATATGATTGAGATTGATTATGAGCTATAGACTCAGCCGTGCAGTTGAGTTAGGAAGATCTAGTTGTTGTGATACCTATCATTGTTATATTTTACTTGGGTAATTTATGGCACTTTATTTATATACCTTGGCATAGCATATTTATGAATATCATTTTCTAAGTATAGTTTTGAGATATGTATATACTCTATTTTTTTTTCTGGGAAAATTATACAGGTTTTACGGCGAAGGGTTAGAACTTTTGAGAAATGAAATGGTTTTGAAAAGTTTTGTTTTGCCCACTCACACTTTCTGTTTTGCGCCCTTCCAGGTTTTAAGTAGAAGTGTTTTGGTGGATCACGAGGATTCTAACGGAGGTTCTGACAGAACATCACCATGTAGGATCACCCTCAGGTGTTGTATTATTAGTACTTATCCTGCTTGACTGCTCTTAGACTATTTATACTCTGGTTGTGTATTTCACCCTTAATCTTGCACTAGCGCTTTATCTTAGCTAGTACTCTAGTTGATTTGGTTTTTGTTTATCCGTAATTCCTTTTATCTCTAATGCTTCCGCATTATGCACATGGCTACGTTACCCTCACGTGACGGCCAATATGCCTCGATCTAGGTCGGGGTGTGTCAGGTACTCCCTAGTAACTTATGAAACCTCGTAATGGATGCTTGAATTATGATTTTATAATTTGTAATATTGTTTTGCATATGATTTTTGAATGAAATGTATTATATTTAAATTTTCAATGTTGTTTTTGTCTATAAATTTTTTTACCTTTATTATTGGGACCCCCCAAGTTTAAAATCCTGAATCCGCCACTGACTTCAATAATAATTTAATTATTAACAATCACATCATTTGGTTTAAAAAATTTGGTTTAAAAATTTGATTTCTTTATCATTATCATTTGTAGTCTCACTAGGTAAGTTGTGGTGTTCTCCTGATTTGTGGTCAATATGTATTGGTTGTAATTGTTAATTTGATAACTTAATGAGGATTTATTCTTGATTAAGTTTGATCCTCTGTAAATCATGTTCGTTTTAAGTTGAGATTGGTCACTGTAATTTTATCGTTTCAATAATATTACAATATTACATCATTCCTTAATTTTTTTTAAATGTTAGAGTATCTCCAAAAAAGATGTCAAAAAGTCCATATCAACAATGACGGTAAAAAAGACAACATTAGTTTTCTACTAATTATTATGTGGCATGATGTGGATTGGAGAACAAAACTTAAAAAAAAAAGGTAATACTATGGAAACTAAATTTTGTAAACTAAATAACATGAAGGCTGATGATTGAATTATTATTTAAACGTTAATAAATGTGTTGCCGCATAGGCTTTTAAACTTAAATTTTAGTTTAACATCTCCTTTAGAGATGGTCTTAGAGAAATCAGTCCAGATTCATCATCTTGATTTCTCCACAAAAGTTCTCTACACTTGTAGTTACCATTAGCCTAATTATAGAAAATAACAGATTTAAGCACTAGACTAAATATAGTTAATCATCATTGATTATAACTTGGGATTGTAAACTCAGTCATTAAGCATTCATAATTCTACAAGAACTTTCATGTTGAACTTACTTTAGACATAAATGATGAAAATCTAATAGGATATACTCACGTTTTAATTTTAGCCCAATGATATTTTAACACATGTTTTATTACTTTAAAAAATAATAGACATGTTGATTATTTTTTTTGGATGAACTTAAGTACTCACTAGTGACTAGCCTATATATTTACTTTTTTATTTTTGTCCAATGATGTTTTAACCAGTGTTCTAAAACGCGGCCTAGGCGCTGGGCGGTGGTTCGCCGCCACGATTAAACCAAAATCGTCGAAGAAATCGGAAAAGGTATTAGGCGACGCTAGAGGGGGCTAGGCGGCCTCGGTGACCGCTAGGCGGCTTTGATGGTAGGTCGATTATAACGTCGTTCTTTCGTTGTGGTAATGAGGTTAGACGTTGGGCGACCATCCCAACGGGTTTTGATCTGTAATTGCAGAGAAAGAAAGAAGAGGGACGGGATGGGTTTCGATCTACAATTGCAGAGAGAGAAAGAAAGAAGAGGGACATGACGGGTTTCGATAGGGACGGCTTGGCTGGGGAGGGAGGGAGGGAGGGAGGGAGGGAGGGAGGGAGGTATATGCAATTGCAGAGAAATGAGGCGGCTGTTTAGGTAATTAGAGTTAGGGTTTGGTAAAGAAGAAAGAAGAGGGACGGCTTGGCTTGGTGGAGAGAGAGAGATAGGGGTAGAGGTATCTGTAGAGAAATGGGGCGGCTGTACTTTAGATAATTAGAGTTAGGGTTTTTTTGGCTAGGAATGGCATTCCTTCAAAACATGGCCGAATTTTTTTTTAATGAAAAACAAAGGCCCAATAAATGATTAAAATAAATGGATGACTAAATGTTACAAAATTAACATAAAAAGTTCTAAAATTTTACACATATACTTAAATCCGCCTTGACCGCCTAGGCGCTAGGCACTAGCTGGCCGCCTGACTAGCGCCTAGAGTTTTTTAGAACCTTAGTTTTAACACATGTTTTATCATTTAAAAAATAATAATAGACATGTTAATTAATTTTTCTTGAACTTTAAAAAACAAAAAACATGTGTCAGTATCCAAATTTATGAACATGTGTGTGCACATTATTAACTCATGGAAGATTCTTTTTTCTAAATGTGGAATAACCTCTCAACAAATTATATGTGTGGAATTACACATTTAATCTTAGTATCATTGAAATTAGTTCAAAACGTTAAGATTTACGGTAACAATTAATTATATTTCGTAAACCACGAGCTGGTGATCCAGTGATAAAGGGCAGATTACGAGATTTCCTTCAAATTAAATACTGAAGGTCCTGGGTTCGAAACTCGCTGCTGATGTGAAAGTCATACTTGTGGCCAAGGATAGACTAAAATGCCTTTATGAATCTTTCCGGCTCCCGAAATGGATGGATAACAGTGATTTGCTACCAATTGTCTCCTTTTTTTTTTAAAGAAAAAAAATATATTTTGTGAAGTATCATTTATGTCGTGCAATTAATGTGTGTTGTTCTTATTATGAGTTTACATGTATCAGCAATTAATTCTCCACATGCAAATGAACCATCGTACGAAGCAAAGCTATAACATAAAAGAGCTGATTCATGTCGATCAAGTAAAAAGGCTTAAAAAATTATCATGATGAATGATGTTTGCAAGGCTTATCTTATGTAATTTGAACTGTCGTTCAAGGTTAAAGTAATGATTAAAGGAGGTGTGATTTGGCTTGGTAAAAGCTAACTGGGCAGTTGCCGCACGAGGAGACAACGCAGGATGCCCGGAGCGTGGAGCGCCATTGCAAACTTGATAGAGGACAGCATTATGACGAAACCGCATTAAACTGAAAGGGGAAAACTAGTATGCGCGATTGATTATCAGTCCATATATTAATAATTTAATACCATTTCGTTGTTGCGCATGGTTGTCAAACGATTCTTAACTATAACTCTAGGTTGCATGGGTGATTGAGTTGTTGTGCAATGTGATTGTGAAGCCCACTTGCATCTACAGCTCGCAATCATCTATGCTCGCGTAAATTACCAAGCTTATCATAACTCTAGACTCAAAAGTGCAATGCAAAAATAGAGTGTGAGAGGCTTGTTGCTCAATTGATAAAGAACATTCACCCCCGCACAAGGAACCCTGAGTTCGATTTTCTCTCTAATATTTACTTGTTTCAAAAGTGTTGTATGGCGTGTCTCTAAACCATTAGTTTATTTTGAATTTTTATCACAAGTGATCCTTGAAATTAACTCATACTATCAAAATGATCTCTAAAAATGAAAATCAATCAATGTAGTCTCTCAATTTCTGTGTCGCTCAATATAGTATTTCCATTAGAATTCTGTTAAAATTTTTGTTAGTGTACTGATATGACATATAGGTAAGCCGAAAAGTCTTTTAAATATAGCCACATGGATATATTATTAAAAACTATATAAAAGTTTAATCTAGAATCATTTAAAACTAAATTCAAAATGATTAGATAAAAAAACAAAAAGCTGTTCAACAAAATAAGAAGCCCCGGTAGAGAACAACGATGTCAGGGGTGCCGTGCAGGTCAGAAGATAGTGGCTGGGGTGGGAGAGATGGCAAGAGAATTGGCAAATTAAGAAGCCCAGGTCCTGATTATTATCATCGTCGTAATACACATTTCACGCGCACCGGACGCATCCGTTGCAGCAGCTATCGTCCTGCTCCGGCTTCTCGGGATGCGGAGCCCTCGCATACCCTCTGTGGTGGCCCGGAAGTTACTCTTGATGGTGGTGCGAGTGGACAGGGTAGTCGCGGTGTTTGAAGAAGAAAAAGTGGAGAATTGTTGTTGGCAGCTGGGTTTCGAAGAAGAGAGAAGCCAAGAAGATGACGTATTTGTGTACGTGCTTTTAAAATAACCGAAAGAACTTTTAAAATAACTGAAAGAACTTTTAGAGAAACATAAGCACTTGAAGTGCTTTCCATAATAAACACCAGTAAGCACAGTACTTCACTTTTTAAGTGTTTTTTTAATATTTACTTGCATTTTTATAAAGAATTGTTTTCAAAAATAATTTCACCAAATCTTTTAATTTTTTATTTACTCATTTTGAATTTGGTTTTAAATGATTTCAAATTAAATTTTTGTGTAGGTTTTAATGATTTGTCTATGTGGCAATATTTAATAAACTTACGGGTCTACATATGTGCTAAATCAATACACTAACAAAAAATTTAACAGAATTCTAACGAAATGACTACATTGATTTGCAACACCCATTTTTAAGAACTACATTGATTAATTTTCAATTTCAAAAACCATATCGATAGTGTGGATCAATTTTAAGGACCACTTATGATAAAAACCCGTTTATTTTTATACAAGTAGTATTCTAACTTGCATAGAAAACAATTCGAACTTGAATACTTAAGAAGAGCACATCTACTTTAACCAATATGGCTCGACAACACCTGCCCCTAATCATCATTTAGAAGTAAAATTTTGGATGGTCATTTGTCTCCCATTACCATTTCGTTATGGAGCCCAAGTGTAGGATGCCATTGGAGGGATTCAACTTTCATAAAGCAAACACAGACGATATATTGAATGTCTCCGACTCCACTGGTTTCTTTGACTTGCAATTCTACATAACTCAGATGAATTTAAATTACAAAATCTATCTTCATTTCTTCATACAAACACAACGCAGTGAAAAGAATCATAGAGGCACTGATCCGTAAAATACGACTTCAGCCGGGCCTGTCATGTAGATGTGATTGTTCTCCTCTCTCCACTCAATCTGCAACGGCCCTCCAGGTAGATCAACCGTGCAATTCTACGTCCAAATGATAAGCATAAAACAGATGAGCGAAGTGGACAGCAAGTAAAATAAACTACAGTAACAATGAAGTGATCTGGAATTTTACGATAGATGAATAAGCAACAGTCAAAGACACTAAACTTTCCCCACATTACGTTTTAGGAAATCACGTGGCCGTTGAGTTGTTAGGCCACATGTATCAGACTACCCACCCCTCGTTTTTCATGGTTGGTACCGCGCATGGGAGGGGTATCGCGCTTATAAAAGTGACCAACGTATCGTGGCAATGTAACAGAAATAGTGATGCGAAGAATGCCAAAACTAGAATTGTAGTATGCATAGGCTATAGCATTACTCTTCTTAAAATTGGATGTTAAAGATAAAAACTGATAGATG